TTTTCTTGTTTCTGTGATGAACAGGGATTTCCTGTTGTGTTTCATGGAGTGATGGGGAAAGATGAAAGAGAGGCCAACAGTCCTTCATTCTTCAACGTGACAGAGATCGAGGTCATCGTCAGCTACCTCAACAAGCTCATGGAAACGCAGGGCAAGAAGGGCCTGCCAAAACTCAACGCCAATGACATTGGCATTATCGCTCCTTACAGGAAACAGGCAAGACTGAGAAAGTACTGTGTTGTAAAATTAGCTTAGAATAAACTGTAGGATTTTTTTTTTTAGAAAATGTATTCTATTACTAATGAAAAATGGCAAGATTTGGAGCAAAAAAGGTTCAAACCCATCTTTACTTTTTAACAAAAGGTTTTTTATTCATTTAAGGTGGAAAAAATTCGGAAAGCTCTGAACACCGTGACGGAGTTACACAAGTGGAAAGAAATCAAGGTTGGCATGTGAATTTCTTTTTTCTTTTCCCCTCAAATTGCCTCTCTGAACTCTGAATAAGTGATTTCTGCTGCTTGATTATTTGACTTTTGCAGGTGGGGTCAGTGGAAGAGTTTCAGGGTCAAGAGAGAAAAGTCATCATAGTTTCTACTGTCCGTAGTAGCGTCAATTATGTCAAGATGGACCAAGACTTCAACATTGGCTTCCTCTCAAATGAGAAGGTGTATATACTTAATCTCTATTGGATAAGTAGGCATTTTTACTGCACTAAATCAATTATATATACATATACACAACCATACAAAAGTTTGGGTTTGAAAGACTCTCTTATACACTCACTAGGGCTACAATTAATTGATCAAAAATACAATAAAAGAGTAATATTGTGAAATATTATTACAATTTAAAATGAGAGGTTTTTTTTTTTATTCTTAATATATTATGTAAAAATTAAAATGTAATTTATTCTTGTGACGACAAAACTGAATTTCCCAGTCTTCAGTGTCACATGATCCTTCAGAAATCATTCTTACATGCTGATTTGCTGCTCAAGAAACATTTATTATTATTATCAACGTTGAAAACAAATGAATAGAAAGTTCAAAAGAACAGCATTTATGTGGATTGGACATTTTTTGCAACATTGTAAAGGTTGTTATTGTAACTTTTGATCAATTACCTGCATCCTTGCTGAATAAAAGTATTAACTTCGTTCTAAAAAACCCCCCAAAAAACAAGCTTACCAACCCTAAACTTTTGACCAGTAGTGTATATAGAGCTGAACAAGAGCTACTGGTTGGCATTTGTGGAATCTAATACCGGTTGTTTTAGCTGCAAGAGTAAAAGTTATAAAGTTTATCACAGAAGCTCGTAATCATGGACAAATTAGGAAAAGAGGTCTAATGCATGTTTCTGACCATCTGTTTGGACTTAGTTTAGAGAAATGATGCCATCCTGTAGTAAACCCTTTCTGTTGCCCACAGAGGTTTAATGTGGCCATGACGAGAGCCAAAGCCCTGCTCATTGTGGTGGGAAACCCAGTTATCCTAAGCAAGGATCCTACTTGGCAGAGGTAAGACCCTAGTTATGGTAACCCGATGGCAACTAGTCCCTATCTTTAATGGCATGCCCGCAGACAGCTTGCAGACCATTTTGAAGCATGTATCACTCAAAATGAGCAAAATGAGCGAACAGCCAGCTTCAATCTGATTGGCTGCCAGCATCGTTTATAACATACCATATTAGTATTTCTTATGCAAAACATCATGTCATTAATTACTCACCCTCATGTCGTTCCAAACCCGTAAGACTTTCGTTCATCTTCGGAACACAAATGAAGATCTTTTTGATGAAATCTGAGAGCTTTCTGTCCCTCCATTGACAGTTACGCAACTACCACTTTGATAAATTTTCTGAAGAGTCTTGATCGCTTTATATAATAAACAGATTTTGGCTATTATTCACGTATAAACATTGATCAGCAAACATAAACTGAAGCTCAAACGTGCTGCGTAACACGAGAATGAACCTCATTGGTTCTTGCAGGTCAATCGAACATGCTTGAGCTTCCGTTTACCACAACTGATGAGTGAGTTGATGAATGTTTATATGTGAATAAAAGCCTAAATTCAATCTGTTCATCATATAAAGCGATTGTGTCTCTTTAGAAGATTTGGACTAAACCGCTCAATTCATTTGGATTACTTTTATGATCTCTTTATGAACTTTTTAAAGCGTCAAAGTGGTAGTTGTGAAAGATCTTCATTTGTGTTCAGAAGATGAACGAAAGTCTTACGGGTTTGGAACAACATGAGGGTGAGTAATAATTAATGACAGAATTTTCATTTTGGGGTGAACTATCCCTTTAACTGATAATCTGTTCCACACTGTATGCAGTAGTTATTAGTGTGCATTTATTTGTGTAGGTTTATCCGGTACTGTGAGCTTGAGCAGGGCAACACTGGCTTCGACTACAAAGATGCTGAAGGAGAGGAGGATGTGGTCAGCCGTCTGGCATCTTTAAAAATCAGCTCTGAAGGTACGCAGGCTTACATAACACATCCAGACCTGAAGTGTGAGTGTATTATGTACTCGTATGACTCATTGCGTGTTCATTTCTAGATGCGGACGAGAGTCCACTACAGCAGCATGTGCACCCGGAGTGGAGAGCTGAACAATGAGGACCAGATTCACAACAATCAAATGAGACCATCAGTTTACATCTCGAGAAAATGTGAAATCACTTTTTTTATCAGTAAAGCAGTATTGATTTGTCACACGAACTCACTCTAATGTTGATTGCAGCCAGTAAAACAATGCATATGACTGATTCATTTAATAATTTCAGAAATTATGAAACATTTCAAAACAGTCCATTTATATACTACTGAGTTAATAATACTGGAGATTTTAGCCCTTATGCAAATTGATGTAGATCAAAGATCAGTCGCAATATCACTTTTACTAATCAACACTAATAATTCATTTCTTTCATTCAAACAGCTATATTTCTTTCCCACAATGGACATTTACTCATTTCAAATTCATTGTTTCCAGCAAGTACATTTTTAAAATGGCTATTAAAAACAATATAACCAGTTGTGAAATTTATGTCAATATGTAATTGCAAATTATGGCAATATATATCTTGAACTTTTATTTTTAGAGAAACTTTTTGTTTAAAGAAATGGGTTTTATATTATGGCATTAAGAATATTTTCTGGAATGCACGAGTTTATGGCTGCTATTTTGTTGTGGCATTGTTTTGTATGTCTTATGATTGTACTTAAAAAAAAAACAAGGCAGAAAATACTTGGCAAATTATTTTTCAACAGTAAATTACCCAACATTTGTAAGATGGATTACTTTTCATTGCATGTCATTACGCACAAAAGAAGAAAAAGTGCAACATTATTTTGTTTCGAAAAAATAGTTTATTAACATAAGTTGGTTTCACTTCATTCAAACAATTACTACTAGTCCCGTTTACAAAGCATTGTTACTATGAGCGCTCATAAAAATCTGGATTAATAAATCAAATTGAATACTTCCAGAAAAAAGGAGACCATATGAACATAGCAGGTTGATCTCAGAGACTGGTTGCTGTAGTCTTTTCCTCATGCTGACAATGACTTCACAAAGATCATGGGTCTATTCTCACACCTGCATCGAGGATTTCATCAAGGACTCCACAAATTAGTACATAAAAAAAAAAGATAAAGAACAAGTTCCTCCTATATTTGTGAGTAGTGTGTAGTTTGTACGTAGTCTAATGGGATGTTCCTTGTGCATTCAGTGCATTGCAGTCAGTATTTCAATAATGCCCTGTTTAATAAATTAAAATCCATGGCATAGTGTTCCATGCGTTCAAGAATTATACAGATGGTTATTATTTTAACGATCTGTGTGCTTCTGATGGACCTAAACATAAAATACCCCAAGGAAGATAGTTTCTCACTCTTTTTGGATGAACCTCACAAAGAAATGCCTGGGTCACATTTCACCTTAAAATAAACCATATTTATAATTAATATATATTATGATTCTAACCAATTTTAATACATATGTAATTTGTATGAATATATGTATATATATATATATATATATATATGTGTGTGTTTATATAGCATTCAATTTTTTTTACATTTTTAATGATACATGTATAAAATTAAATTAAATATTAAATTTTCACCCAAATCTTTGTATTTTCCTAATGCAAACTATATATATATATATATATATATATATATGTTTGTTTGTTTTTTTAGTTGATATATGACCCAAAACACATTCTTAATTGTTTTTGTGAATTTCTTATTTTACAATATCAGACCAGATTGAAACAGAGCTCCACCATGCTAATGAATTAAACACTAGTTCAAAGTAAACACAGACAGGAAACATGGGGCTGGATTTATGTAGCATTGATAATTTACCTCATGTCAGACATCTCATGTCACCAGCAGCAGACAGTAGTGGAAGTGACATCAGTATGGATTCTACACCAGTTAATACAAGCTACAGCTCTTCTAGAAGCACAACTGCGTGATTAGCCGAGGTTATTGTCAGAAACACGATGATCCGAACACCTCATGATTACTGGCATGCAACATTACAACACTGATCGTGACCAAACGCATGCATGGACATAACCATTCATCTCATCTCCACCCGAGCGCATTACAGACTGATAACTAAAGGCACACAATTCTGTGGGAACTGGAAAGGCACTCAAGGCCTTTTCTAACTAATATACATTTGTTAACAATCTTCAGTTTGTGAATTTATTTGATGTTTCGAAATGCTAGACACCTTCTAAAGTGATCGCACCTTTGCAGTAACAATACTCAAGCATGTGTGCCGGCTAATGTGAGGACAATACAGTCAGATTATGTGACGGGATGAGCTCAGCCTGGATATTTGAGTCAGGTTCAACCAGTTTAATATCTATAGAGCTCAGTCCATGTGCACATGTGTGTGTTTATGCCTGTGTGGAGGACAAAAACGACAAATGTCACGCTCCTGGTTGGTTTTAGACCTGACCGAGCCTCCAAATTACATGTAATTGATATTTATTTGGGAAATGAAAGCTATATACATTACTGAAGATTTAGCATTTTTAAATACATTTAATTGGCTCATAGGAGTTATTCACTACTATTAAATTGTGTAGAAGACACAGAGAAGCTCAAAACACACACTTTACATTCAAATTGTGGAGGGAATGATCATGAAGGCACTGGTTTTTATTACCAAATTCTGTGCTATTAAGAGATGTCTACGTGGTTAAATTCATTTCGATTACAATAATATGAAGATGTTCTCACCAGATTATAATTGTCAATTGATAAATATGCAAAAATACAATAACGTTGTGACTGACGTCATCCGTACAGAAGAAACTGGAGAGAAAAAAGGTTTGTATTTCTGAAAAACATTGTGCCATAGAGGAAACCTAAATCAAGATATATAGTGACATAGATATATTTTGATCTAACCTGCCTTTCTGCCCAGCCTTTGTCCATTTAATGCATTTTTTTTTTACTTTCCTCCATTTCCCACCTGTTGGTTTGCATGAAATGTGACATACAGTCCAGTGTATTTATGTTTGTTTGGTCAAAAACATTTTTTTGTGGAGTTTGGTATTTCTTGGTCAGCGCGGGGAGATCATTCTGGAAAAAGACCGGAAAGTTCTCTTACAACAGCAGGCACCCGCTCCTCTTCTTCCTCTTGCGGACTTGCAGCGCCGCCCTGGTGGCCATTTCGAATACTTCCCTCACGCCCTCCTTAGTCTTGGCTGAGCATTCCAGGTATCCAAAGGCGCTAATACGGTTGGCCATGTCTCTGCCCTCCTCAGGTTTAACCGGCTCCTGCAAAACAGATGAGTTGGAACTGAATCATCACATTCAATAAGATTTAGAACCAAATTACTGTTTGAACTGTGTGAACGATGGACGTCAGAATTGCGCGGCTGCAGCTAAAGCCTGACTTATGACATGCAATGTCAATTCTGCTCGCTAAATGAATAGATTTAACGTAGGCCATCTCCCCAGATAACCGAACACTATTGCTGACACGTCATTTAAGGGCCGAGGCATGATAGCATCAGTCATTGGTTATTAGAGGTTGGACTGATCGCTCGAGTACGAGTGGTTTGACAAATGATAATGATCAGGCCTTCTGGAGTAACAGTAATGCTGGCTGCTAAGAGCTTTTTAATGGGACTCCCCATCGTGGTGATGCGGCAGGCCCCGGGAACACACCTGCTTCATCTTAGTCAGCTCTCTCCGTGTGTGCTCATCGTTCCGCAGATCTTTCTTATTGCCCACGAGGATTATGGGAACGTTGGGGCAGAAGTGCTTCACCTCTGGCGTCCACTTTTCTGGGATATTCTCTATGAGATCACACACATTCAAGATTGGTATATCATTTTAACACAAATTGGAATTTTATAGTATAATCATGCACATCAATAATTAAAGCTGCAGTCCATAACTTTTTTTGTTTTAAAAATTTACAAAATTTATATAATAAGCAAGTACATCATGAATCCATTTTCCTAACCATGTTTTTGTCTTATCCTGAATCACTACGGTACACCTATAATAAGTGTTTATATCGGGACTATTTTAGACTGGTACGGGTCGTACCGCTGTGGCAGTGGCGTAGGTTTGATTTTGAAATTGGTGGGGACGGGGACATGAATATTTAATATATTTAAAGTTTTGATCGAAAATATTGCTAGGGATATATCAGTGTCACTGGATATTGGTAGGGACACGTCCCTAGCGTCCCTACTAAATTCTACGCCCCTGCGCTGTGGAGTAACCCAGCAGTGCCTGTAGCTCCGGCTACAATGTTCTTCCGCACAACACATGCAGTTCTGTTTATTAACCACTAGAGCGCCAAAAGTTTCGGACTGCAGCTTTAATAAAATAAAATAATAATATGCAATTATATAATATATATAAAAAAAGTGTTTACAAACTTTCAAATATACATTATAAATGAATTATATATCTATATACACACATATATATGTATGTGTATTTTTTCCCCTAAACTTTCAAATATACATGAATAAAATAATAATATATAAAATACATACACACATATGTAGGTAAGCATGTATACGGAAAAAAAATTTAATGTATATTTGATTTGTTTTTATTATACTGTACAAATGACAGTATCCATAGTTTGTTTAAAAAATATAGTGTTTCCAGACTTATTCAAAGTAAAACATAATATAATAATGATAATATTTATATTATAATTAGTGGTCGACAGGCAGATATTTGTCATTTTTTAAATATCATCATCGGCAGATGAGTTTTTCTGCTTGGCCGACCTGTTGAAGCAGGACTTTTATTTTGATGGCGCTGCCTGAGCACACGGCGCTCCCATTATCCATGTTCATTATTTACGGTCTCTCTTTAACAGTAATACGTTAGATAGAACTGTTAAACAAAGAAAGTAAACTGTATACGAAAGAGAATTGTAGCGTTTGCTTTTATATCATTAGTAACAGACAGGCAAACACTACAATACTTTCTCATTTACCTTCAAGATTCAGCAAATACACATTTATATAATTTAAACAAATCTTTGTATATCTAACAAACATGTAGTTTCACAAACCTGATCGACAAACATTAAACCTTTGATTTCAATCTACGCTGTGCTATATTCAGTTGCCCACTATCATATTCATGTCATTTAATATAATATATAATATAATATGAGAAAGTCTTTGTAGGTACTGTAATTTGAAGGAAAAATATGGTGACAAAAAGGTTAAATTTTTATACTTACATATAGTGTTATAAAACTTTGTTTTATGATGTTAATGTGACCCAAAGAAAGTGTGAGTGAAATAAGGGATTTTCCCCAACAAATCCAATCCTATTATTGATATTAAGTAATTCATGTTTGGTGGTTCCATTCCATTTCACTGCTGGGGGAATTATGTGACTGATTTATTTATATAATATACACTACCGTTCAAAAGTTTGGGGTTGGTACGATTTTAAATACTTTTAAAAGAATCTCTTCTGCTAACCATGGCTGCGCTTATTTGATTAAAAATACAACAAAAATCAGTTATAGTATTAAATATTATTCCAGTGTAAATCAGCTGTTTTCTGTGTGAATATATAGTAAAGTGTAATTTATTCCTGTGATCAAAGCTGAATTTTCAGCATCACCAGTGTCAGTGTCTTCAGTGTCAAATGATCCTTCACAAATCAGTATAATATGAGGATTTGATGCTCAAGAAACATTTATTATTATTATCAATGTTGAAACAGTTGTTGGTCTGTCAGTTGTACAGTTTTTTTTTTTTTTTTTAGGATTCTTTGATGAATAGGAAGTTCAAAAGACTTTTGTAACATTATAAATGTCTTTACTGTCACTTTCGATCAAATTAATTATTCGTTGATAAATAAAAGTATTGATTTCTTTCCTCCAAAAAATAAAAATAAAATTCTCACTGACCCCAAACTTTTGAACGGTAGTGTATATATTGAACTTTTGAACTCTGCTGAATCAAGTGGCTGAATTCTGAATAATCTCAGAATTGTCTGTGATAACTTTTAAACACAAACTTATATAATTTGCTCAAGCTTCCCGACATTTATTATAACGAGGAAAACAACTGGGATGTTCCTACGGGAAGCTGGTGGAGATAAAGGACAGTGATGTCATGGACACAAGTGTTATCATGATGCGCCTCGACTCTTAGACAAAACACAGGAACTTCCTGCATAAACTGATGACTTGGTGAATTGTATTTCCAGTAAGAACGGCCTTGACACAAATAAGAATGACTCAAAATTAAAATATAAAGCAGATTTTGGATTCTTTGGAAAATATGATTACCTAAACTGTCGGGACTGTCTATGGAGAAACACATGAGGATGACATCTGTGTCTGGGTAAGACAGAGGTCTCAGGCGATCATAGTCTTCCTGTCCTGCTGTGTCCCACAAAGCCAGCTCCACCTGTGGATCAAAATTGGACAGGATGAGTCAGACCTCAGTTGAAACAGCTAGTCAAAGCCTTTAATGATCTCTACAGCACACTGGACTTCGCATCATGGGTTATTTAGTTGGACAAAAGCAGAAGGGCACCTAAAGGAGTAGTTCACTTTAAAATGAAAATTACCCCATGATTTACTCACCCTCAAGCCATCCTAGGTGTAAATGACTTTCTTCTTTCAGACGAATACAATCAGAGTTATATTAATAAACAGTCCCAGACGCTTCCGAGCTTTATAATGGCAGTGGATTGCAACCATCAGTTTGAAGCTCAAAAAAGTGCATCCATCCATTATAAAGTTGCTCAACACGGCTCCAGGGGGTTAATAAAAGCCTTCTGAAGTAAAGCGATGAGTTTGTGTAAGAAAAATATTCATATTTAACACGTTTGAGGGTGTGTAAATCATGGGGTAATTTTCCTTTTAAAGTGAACTACTCCTTTAATACACACTTTAAGACCATGCAACCCTCGTCTCCCTTAGGAGTGTACAACCCACTATACAATAAGTGAGACAAAAAAAAAAGAAAGAAAAAAAAGAGCATTACACATTCCTAAAAGAAACAGTTCAGGCTTAAGACAGCTTACGTGTGTACCTCCTTCACACAAGCCCTTTCTATTTAGACCTATACAGACCAGATATATTCAGGTTATTATGATGCATTGACAAATGTATTTTAACACTAATGCAGATGCACCACTATAGAATTTTTTGGGGTTTATAATTTATTTTTCATAATTTATTTATTTGGGTCAAATATTCATACGGTTCTACAGGAACTCTATTTGAGATTTAATTTCTTGTTTTATAGTTTTTCTGTCACATGACAACAAAATGGATATATGTTGGTTATACATGTTGATATTTTAAAGGAATAGTTCACCCAAAAATTTAAATTATCCCATGATTTACTCATCCTCAAGCCATCCAAGGTGTCTATGACTATCTTCTTTCAGATGAACAAAATCTGAGTTATACTAAAAAATAGCCTGGCTCTTCCAAGCTTTATAATGGTAGTAAATGAGGGGCGAGATTTTGAAGCCCAAAAAGTTCTCTAATTTTTGGGTGAACAATCCCTTTAAGCAAACTAAATTTAAATATAAAAAAAATAATTATTTTAAATATTTAAATTTCAAATATTTATTTATTTTAAATTAATCATTTTAAAACCGAACTTAAATAAATAAAACCACTTAAATTTTTTAACATTTCAGCCTTTTAATAAAACAACACCATAACAACAACTAAACAACCAAAAGATGGTCAACGGTCATTTTCAAGTCATTGTATGTATAAAATGTATTTGATGTTTTATGAATAAATTAATAGTGAAAAAAAATTAATGTCTGAATGAATGTAATGGTCAAAGTGGGTTAAAAGCACCTTTCTACACTGAAAAAGAAATTGATGTAGAAACATTTTTCATTCAGAAATTGCTAATAAATATAACACAGAAATACAATAATTGTACAAGTAAAACGTTGAAGTAGAAAATCTAAAAAAAAAAAAGTATTTTCTTGTAAAACATACTCCAATTATCTTCATTTTATTTACAACTGTGAAAAATATTTTTTTGAGTTTACTTTCTACTTTCAATGTCAGAGCAATGCTGATAATTTTGAAAAACTATTATCAGATTCAGCCAACACTAATATGGTGTCAGATATATTGAGGATCCCTAGTGTAAAAGCAAATGAACTTTAATGTATCAATCCTTCACATATGTCACTCTTCCCTCACATAATCTGTACAGGGCAACAACAAGCCTTGGCTTATCCAATCACAAGCCTAGTTAAACGGGAGATTAGAGGGAATCAAACTACATCCCTTCTGCTCTGCTGTAGGACTGAAGCTTAGTTTCATACCGCCGCTGAGTCATACACCGAGCCTGATGCCACATCATTACACAACCTTTCCTCAATTCACCGAGAGAGGAGACTATTTTTCCCTCCGTTGTGCACTGATCTGAAGCTCTACATCAAAATAATCTGTTCAGTGCAGAGTAAAGCAGCCCATAATGCTTTGACTGGCTCATCGTTTTTCAAAGAGCATGCATAGGTGGCATCAGCCAAAAATGAATGCCATATCAACTGCAGAGCGAGTCTCAGAGAAAGATTATGAAGATAAATGTATTTTTCCTCTTTAGAGAAGCATGCACTGCTGAATCAGGAACGTGTATTTAGTAAATAGAGCCAATTTTTATGTTGACTTTAAAATTTATGTTTATCCACCGGCGCGAATAAAGTAGAGAATGTTTCCAAAGGCCGGAAAGATTTATTCTCTTTCGCCACTGGGAAGCTTCTATATTTTGAGAAACCTAGCAGCGAAACACTGCTGAGAGAGCGAGGGGTTTTTCAAAAGAGATGCCATCCTGCTCCTTGACTTCAACATTTCCTGTGCTGGAGACACAAAGTGAGCCCACCTTCCCCCAATAAAAACCCTCTTCCATCACAGGAAATGAAGTAGTCGGTTTAATCGTGCTATACAGGGTTGGAGAGTCACAGCAACAGGGGCGGGGATATCTTGAGTCCAGTCAGGAAACCAGAGAGAACAGCCATTTCCTGTTTTGCCAAGTCCCCTTTAGATTTCGTAGTGGTCAGGGCTGCAAAACATCAGATCTATCAGACCCCTTCACGTCACCCATTCCAATGCAGTGTTATTTATATACTATTATAGTGATTATTAATATTTTGAATTGCCTTATTTTAATATTCTTTATTTTTATATTTCTAGTTAAAAGTTTAGTTTAGGTTTTTTTTCCATCTAGCTTTAATTTATTTTTATTTTAAGTTAGTTACAAGGCAACATTACTAATTTTAATTTAGGTTTTTAATTATTTAATTATTTTATTTCAGCTTAAATTAAATGACTGAAAATTATTTTTCAGTATAGTTTTAGTCCACAATAACAACTGTTCAAAAACAATTGCTATTCAATTAGTAATTTTGTTATGCATTTTTTTTTGTCTGTTTTTTTATTTCAGTTTTGGTCATTGTATTACTTAAACCTGTTTTATTTCAGTTAACCATAATTTTCAATTACAATTTTTTAAAACGTTTTTCATCTAATATTTATATATTGTTTTATTTCAGCTTTATTTCAATTACCGAAAATTATTTGTAATAGTTTTAGTTCTCACTATAACAACACTGTTCCAAAAAATGCCTATTATTTTACACTTACTGGTGCAATTGTTTGGATAAATAGTCTATAGAGGATATACATATATATTAGACTAAAATAACAACAACAGTGTTCACAGATTCTAAGTTGGTTTCAGGATGAACATGACAGTAAAACTGACTAATGAAAACAAAACTAACGACACGTTCTGGGTTACTTGCAGATCTCAGCTTGGGTTTCACAATTAGCAATTTCCAAAACCAAACCTCAAGGTCTGGAAATATTATTAAGATGTGTTGTATAAAAACAGGCTTTGGGGGGGTTTGGAGGCGGCCAAGAATCAATACCAACCTGTTTGCTGTCGACTTCGATATCTGCAATGTAGTTCTCGAACACAGTAGGCACGTAGACTTCTGGAAACTGATCTTTGCTGAACACTATGAGTAGACAGGTCTTCCCACATGCTCCATCTCCCACGATCACCAGCTTCTTCCTGATAGCAGCCATACCTGGAGAGGAAATATGAGATTTGCTTCAACCACAATCGGCTCCATGTCATGAAAAGACTCTTTCATTTTGATCTTTTAAAATAAGAGCTGAATGCACTATGGAAACATACTGTAAGTTTGGCTCCAGTTAGAGCAGCACTATTCTGGATAAATTGAGAATCACGATTTCAAACAGAGATCATGAATCTGATCAGACAACTAAACAAAATAACATGCAATTCAATCTACTAGAGGTTCAGGTTTAAAACGTTTAATTAATCTGATTGAATCATTTAAAAAAAAATGTTTTGAATGAATGATACTGAATGATGCAATGACTCACTCATAAAGACTTCACTTGGTTCATTAGTACTGAATGAATCAGTTTTTTTTAACGAATCTCTTGAATGAATGATTCAATGACAATTTTTTTGTGATTGCTTCTGTAGACATCAGTGTTTATCTGAACTATAAACTTTTAATATGAATATTTGTGACACAGAAATAATGATAGGCCTACTGTGTGGTTGAAAAAGCCGTTTCATACCTTTACATGACAACTGCCCTCTCTAGCTCAGCGGCAACGCAAACGCATATTTGAATGTTCCGGTGTGAGTTTGTCAAAGGTTTAATAGACAGGCGATTAGTGAGATTGTGTGGGTGTTTTTGAATCGAGATCGCAATATTTTACCGATTAATCGTACAGCTCTCGTCCAAAAAGTCTGTCTTTGACTGCAAATTGTTCCTTTGAGTCAGATCTTTTCCAAGAATCAGTTCACAAAACTGGCCTGAATGATTCGTTCATGAATAAGTCATCCCTCTCATGAATGCACCAAAAATATCAAGACATTTCCATGGTCACATGAAGGCTCTTCAGAAGTCATATGGACCACTTTTAGGACACTTTTGTAATGTTTTTGTCATTTTGAAGCGTGATAGACCCGCTATCATTCACTTTTATTATTTATTAGAGTGGCCATTTTAAAATTCTTTCAAATTCAACACTAAACAGCTCTTCGATTATTTCCATGCTTGGTCCTCCAGCGTGACACAAAACTACTTGTTTTGCTCTTTTTTTAAAGTATATCCCAATGTTATCTTTATCATTCAGCCATATGTTGTCCACCATAACAAAACAACAGACCTGAAGGCAAATGCAAGTCGCTGAATGAAGAGCAGAAGGGGAAAACGTGTACGCAAACATGATATGAACATCTGTTTAATGTGAACCTGATGCAAAACTCAACCAGAGGACACAATCCTCATGGGCTACAAAAAACATATCACAACGCACGCAAGGCTTCTGAACACAAATAGACGTCAAGATCATTTCATAGTGACGGCTATGGAAATTGTCAATTCATTTAAACAATCAAATTCTACATCTTTTATTTTAACCACATACATAGTTCTAACAGTTCGTTTTAAACCTTGTATAATGAGGTTGCATTTTATTTACTCAGTAAACCCAATTTTTATTCACATCTGCCTCCTGGCGAGTGTTATTTCTGGACTCTGGCTACACAATTCAAATCAATTTGCATTATAAACTTGAAGATGTCAGTTGGGCGAAAGAGGAAAGCATTTACTCAATCAACTTGGCGAGATCTCTGAGGAGAATGTATTATCGCATTGATCTGTCACACTTTTGATCACCAACACCAATTTCTGAACTAACTCGCTTGCTTATTGGAGCTAGTGATAGTGTGACAATTCTGAGGAAGACGTTGTGAGCGAGGTTGAGCTCTGGTCTTTGTGTGGGCGATAAGAGAGATTTGTCCTGCATCCATGATGAATATGTGCCAGTAGGGAAGCACAGCTGTGCATATCGTCGTTCCAAGCCTCCCAATACTCATCTATTCTTCCTTAGTATTCAAAGATTACAAACACAGATTAAACACACACTCCTCTACACTGTCTGGGCTTGTTTTAACACGACTACTTATCAACCGGCCTCTATCAGATTGTGCTTCCTTGGAGAAAAAAGAACTTTATTTTTAGTACAGCCTGGGTTTCTTTCTCTCTCATACGAAGCTCCATCCACCCACAGGAAACGCAGGGGCTTATTTCCTAGAAACAGAGAGGGAGGGAGCACAGACACTAATGGAGAAAAGAAGTTGCCGTTTCTGTGACAGAATAAATTAAACAAGTTTTGTTGCTCTTATGTGATGCAATACAAAACATTTTAGGAGAATTTAATTGAGGAAAAAAGCAAAAGTTCAGTATCAATTTTTGTGGAGGGATGCTTCGGAAAATAAATACAAGATGCAACTTAAAGGTTTAGTTCACCTAAAAATGAAATTTCTGTCATTAATTACTCACCCTCATGTCGTTCCAAACTCTTAAGACTTTCGTTCATCTTCGGAACACAAATTAAGATCTTTTTGATGAAATCTGAGAGCTTTCTGGCCCTCCATTGACAGTTAAGCAACTACCACTTTGGCGCTTCAAAAAGTTCATAAAGAGATTGTAAAACTAATCCATATGAATTGAGCGGTTTAGTCAGTGATCAGTGAACATAAACAGAAGCTTAACCGAACATGATTGATGCGCGAGAACAAACTTCATTGGTTCTCACGGTGCTGATCCACTTGTCCGACACGACTGTCGCGTGGTGTCGCGACGCCTCCCTACATTTGTACGTTGATGGGCGTTCCTCTGTTTGCCGCTATGGGCGTGGTTTTGACCGAGTGGGAAATGTTGCCTATTAGAACAGAGGACCTGCGAGTGACTTCCCTCCGTCTCCATATGCTCTACTTCTATTGGATAGACGCATCGCGTTCAACGGACTTCAATTGCATAAAGATGGGCATCGGCCAGCTTTTTGACGCGCGACAATTTTCAAAATGAAGCGCCACCCTCCCGGAATGCTTTGCGGGCGCGACAAAGTCGCGTGACGTCACCCATAGGAATAAAGCGGAGCGCGGCGCGCGGCGCGACAGAAGTGTCGCACGGACAAGTGGATCAGCACCGTTCCTGAAGCTCAAACGTGCTGCGTAACACGAGAATGAACCTCATTGGTTCTCGCAAGTGAAGCGAACATGCTTGAGCTTCCGTTTACCACTGATGTGTGAGTTGATGAATCTGTTCATCATATAAAGCGATCAAGTCTCTTCAGAAAATTGAGACTAAACCGCTCAATTCAAATGGATTACTTTTACGAACTCTTTATGAAATTTTTGAAGCGTCAAAATGGTAGTTGCGTAACTGTCAATGGAGGGACAGGAAGCTCTCAGATTTAATCAAAAAGATCTTAATTTTTGTCCTGAAGATGAACGAAAGTCTTACAGGTTTGGAATGACATGAGGGTGAGTAATTAATTACATAATTAAAATTTTTAGGTGAACTATCCCTGTAAGGGATACATTTTATTTAAATAATTAATAATATATTATTTCTATATATCATAGTATAAATGTGGCAAGGAAGGAGAGATATTTCTTACAGTTACATATATTTTCACAGCATGAATTGGTAATAATAAACAATCAGAACATGTTAAATTGTTAATTCTTCATTATTGTGAGAAGTTATGTTAACTTAGACAGCCAAACTAGGGGTTGAACGACTTCAGATTTTTTTAAGTCGACTGTTATGACATCAAAGTCGAGTCGACGTCGACTAGTCGATGACGTCATTCATAAAAACACAAGAGATGGGACTGCTTTGCAACATGCCACAATTTGCAATTAATTAACAGAAAATTATACAGATGCTGACAGACAGCTCATAATGGGGCCGTTTACACCTGGTCACTTCATGTTTTTTTACTGATCTGATTTATCAAAACGATGCCATTTAGCCTACACCTGGTCACATAAATATGTTTTCGCAAAACAGATATATATCCGATCTTCAAACAAAGCGCTATGCAGATTTAACGGAGTTCACGTCACCAAAAGCAACAATAATGAGCTGCATTTTATTGATCATCAGCTAATTTCAAAATCAAAGACCGCAATGAGACAGCACTGGTAAGATCATTTCTGTTTCTTTACTTTTAATGAAGATGATTGTGTGTTAAGCGTCTGCGACTTACTTTCACTTTGATTTGCGATAGTTTGCACGTTGGCTTGATGAATAGATGCTCGAGCTGCTCATATGCGGCGATGCGTGTTGCCATAGCTTCATCGCTATAATACGCTCTCACACGTTTATTTTTAGCATTGTTGGGAGAAGTCCAGTTTCAACAACCAGATGCATTTACACTTGTCCAGTTTCGTCTGTGACGCGTCTCAGACCTCCTCCTGAGGCGGTTTGAGCGATCGGATTTAAATCCGTCTCGAGTGCGTTTCGGAGGGCATTTACACCTGGTCTTTTCACGATCGGATAGCTATCAGATCACAGAAACACATGAAGTGCCCTGGTGTAAACAGCCCGCAGTTACATCATCATTTAGGATGAAAAGAAAAGGAAAAAAAGCTATAAATTCACATCTGTACCTTAGTGATGCGCAGATCCAAGTAATACAAAATAATATTCCAATTAACTGCGGGTGAATTAGCTAAATCATTAATATGTTTAAATAAATAAATGAAAAAAAAATGTTTTAATGATTTTAATAAAGATACTGAACTCTCATTTCCGGTAGTGAGCGTGCGTCATGCTTTTACTTTCGTTTTCAACAATATCTAGTGTTAGGTTAGTAAAGTATTTACACATTTGATGTACCAATGCTGCTTTCTTGCTGCAATGACCCTCTGGGCTCTTCATCTGTTGTCGTCTGCAACATGTTAGTATCAAAAGTAGCGCAATCATAGTGTCACATGATCATCGCGACTAGTCGACGTCAAGCTTAAAGCGTCGCGGTGTTTCATTAAGGTCGACTAGTCGACTAATCGACTAGTCGGTTCAACCCCTAAGCCAAACACCACTAATAATCATATCTTTTGTTTTTGTTTTTACAACTTTCTCTATTTGACAGTAAAGGTTTCGTTATTTTAAATGTTGATCGGAAAAATCTCTTTTCAGAATAATCTCCGAGATATCAAAAGAGAAACAAAAGCTCAGAGGAAATTTGA